TCATCATCATCATCATCATCATCATCATCATCATCATCATCATCATCATCATCATCATCGTCTTCATCGTACAGCGAAATACAGAAAAGTAAACGTCACTGATCGCTGCCAAACTCGCTATGCATATGCTTTGGGGTTTGATGGACAGCGCTGATAGAGTGTCCAGCCACTAAGCCGGGGAATGGTTAGGGCTCTCAACCAAAGTCGTTAGTTCTGACAAGAACCTAGCCGCAAGGCAGTGGATGAAGCGAAGTAGAGGCCCATTCACTTGGATCAATTATTCCTCCATCAATTTTTGCAGACTGAAACTCAAATTCTAGTCTAACCCCCAACCTAGAGGACCAGAAAACTGGACTTCGTCCGACCTCTACCATTCGAACTTCCAGGCATGATTAGATCTTTGGCTTAAGAAAAGCCATCCTGTGTAGCTCGTAGGGGTTAGAGAGGTGCACAATCCATCACACCATGTCAAGGTGCAGTCTCGTCGCGATAGTACCAATCAGCTGATATTAATGGTTTCGTTCTCTAAAACATGTCGGACTATCTATTCATGAGCTGCAAGAAAACTGCTCTCGCACCCTGATGGATCTGTGCCACCATCTGGATTTGGTAGTGTAACCAATTTGTCCAGGTTTCGATCNTCCGAATGCTCAACGCTTTGAGCCTCATTCATGTGAATATGGATAGGGTTTTACCCCAAACCCGACACAATCTATATTTGATAGGTCGCATTTAACTTACATTTATTTGTGAGTGTAGTATGAGATAAGTGCCATTGCTTGGAACTAACCATCCTACACACTTCACCTTCGAGCATAATTCTCAATTCTTCAATTCTGTTGGTGCAAACACCAATGCCATTCGTCCCAAGATAAACCCGACTGCATACTTGCTAATTCTGTGAACAAAATCAAAAAAAACTTTACAACACATTCGACCCAAACCAGGGTCATCGCGGATCATTACTAATCTCGCTGAAATAAATCGACAGCATTGCGTAGTACGGCAATATTCACTCTCTCCTTTCGTCTGATTCGTAACCTATGGCTGGTTGAACATTGCTCACTGTGCATTCCATTGGTACATTCGTTTTCTTGCATTGATTAATTTTATTTTTAGTCACATCAGAGTAAAACTTGTAGATTGACTCGTGACTTGTGATTTGTGCTCAACGCGATTAAAATCCCGTGCCGCTGAAGCGGTGTGTTCTCTCTCGTGTTTTGGGAGGTCTGAGAGATCGATAGCCGACCGTGCGTCCTGTGTTTCGCCTAGGTAGCTTCCGCTCCTAGAACTATCATCCGCTTACTGACTTAGTGCTAGTACGTTGTTCTCGTTTCCCGTGGGCTACTATTGTTACTGTGCTACACCTTATGGTGTTATGTAGTGCTGTGCGACCTAATAGTAGGCAACGGACGTACGCGGCGCAAAACATAACAATCTGGCAACATTACAAATTCAAACATACAATCGGAAGTACTAGACTCCATTTTCGATGTTATCGGAAGTCATCATTGGTGCATAACCAAATTCTTGTCGGGGCTTTGAACTCAGGACTCATGGACGCATGGAAAAAACATGCTTTGGTCATTCCGTTCAAACTTGGAATGAGCTGGTTGGTACAGTGGAAACACACGCCTTCCATGCTATGGATCCGGAATGCAGAACCCGAACGGGAAGGCGTAGATGCACTACTGCTGAGCTTTATTAAGAGTAGAACGACAGCTTGGTGCGTCCGAGTGTATCATTGACTGGAAGAAGTGAGGACTTTGCGTGAAGGTGAGGTGGGAAGTATGATTAGTTCCAATCAATGTCAATAATCTCACAAAACTACTCGCAAATTACTGAGTTAAATGCGCATTGTGTTTAATTTGACCTGTATAAGTGCATTGTATGTAGTTAGTTAAAAAAGTACTTGTTTGCCCCCCTTTATATTCTTTTTCTCGTAATCTACAAAACGAATTGGGTGAAGGCTAAGTTACCGTGATTTCTAAATGTTTGTTTGGACGAAATTCCAGTCAATGAATGAGTGACACTAGTATATTTTGTGTTTGATGGGGAGATATCTCCGGTTCCTGTTCTTCTTTGACGATAAAATCAATAAAAAATCTATCCCTGCCTAAAGGAATTAATGAATCAATTATAAAATTTTTTGTACAGTTCCAACAGAAACCATGAATTGATAGACAATTCAGCTATTATCGATTTGAGTATAGAATAAAATGTGTTAAGCTAACCATTTTCCTCGATTGTGTTTAGCATGACGCTTGCAGTCCCATCAAATTGTGCCAATCCACCTCTTGGTGGTGGTTCCGAGCCATGTGTGAGCATTTACCCCGTATGATGCAAATCGCCCCACATGCGAATCCGGTCGGTCTGATACGTCTTCTGTTGGACGAAGCAACTCACGCAAACGAGCGTCGATCCAGTGTCATAAAGAAACCGGATCCACGAACCAGACCAGTAAACCGACGGGCCCGTTTTCGGTGGAAACGTGCGATTGATTATGCCCGGGGGATTGCGGCAGCCCGAATCGCGTCCAGACCGTCCAGTAATACGTTTGCCTATCGATGGCCCACAGTCAGTGCATTGTTACGTGCCAAGTCGGTGTCCGAATCGTCGTCCCAGCCGGATTTGAATCCACGTGAGACGACTAAATCGGAGAGTAGCAATCGGACTCGATTGTCCAGTTACAGTCAGATGTTAGATGAGGAAGATTCATTGCTCGATGCAACGGTAGACAACGATCAGAAACAGTCTGCATTTGATCAGATGACTGATGATGAACCGGACTTGCTGATCGAACCAGCGGATCCAGACACTTCCTCATCTGAGGAACAACTGATCGAGTTCGAACGTGAGAGCCGAAAACATCGCGCTAGTTGTTGTAAGTTCTCAGTTGATTGAAAGTAGCATTTTCGCACTGTCAGCTTTTATTATTGTTTGTCTAAGTCCTTCACTGTTGCAAATAGTCACCAATATGACAAACGCTTAGCTTTACAAAACAAGATAACTTTGTCTGTTATGCATACGTGATTGGAAAGCTCGATGAAGATATAGATTTAAATCGGTCAGATAGTGGAGATCTCCCGGTATTCAAATTTTCACCAAAATTAATCCACAGAAATGGTAAATGACGATTGTCACCAGTGGAAATTGTTGCATTCTACCAGGTTTTTGGTTTCATCTTTTCCTAATTTCGTGAATCCTCCTGATAGTCCGCGTAACGATTACCGATTTCACAAACCTGTTCAGTGAAGAAACTAAGAAAAATGAAGAGCAAACACAAAAGTTCACAGTTTGATTATATCGAACTAATCACCTAATTCCCAAGGATTCAAAGTAACGTCCCACATAAATCTCTCCTATGATAGGCGGGGAGGGGGAAGGAGCATTGAGCCAGACGGCAGTGGCAGCGGCGATTCAGCCGAGCAATAAAGCCGGTGACCAGAGCTGTGGTTTGAATCGCAAGACCCAGAGCGCAGAACATGTCAGGGAGTGTCAGGGTGGCTCACTTGACCATCAACACCACCGAGCTGTTCTCAGTATTTGTGACCAGATAAATTGTTTGAATTGTGAACTTCAAACCCTCCTACTGCTCCTAATCCTCGTTTCATCTATTTTCCAAAGAACTTAGCCGAAACAATCAAAACCAACAAAAGATTTTTCTCATTTTTAGCTTTGAATGAGGTTAAACGTTTTGGTAAATGGCTCTGGTAATTCGGCTAGAGCTTGATGTTTTATCGGACTATTTCACCGGGCAAATCTGATCAAAAACCTTAACACATATGATCTAATGCAAATACGAGATCGAACAATTGAACAGCTGATAGAACTTGATATAATTTTTCATTCATTCAATGCCATTGACGCTTCATGTTCCGGTGATTCTCAAAACCATAATTTGTCCAGTGCATTTGGCTGTAGATTAGGATCAATCCAGTATCCAAGCTATGGATACCGCATATACCACATCAAATAACAACGATTCGGATCATTTTCACAAAATATAATGGATTGTTTCAATCTGCCTTCGCTCAGTTTACTGACCGATTAGAACCTTGAAGGATCCTCGCGCCTCAGCAAAACAAATGACTCGATGGGGTGGCGATCACAAAAGGGATCTCATCTACATTGGTTCCCATAATGATCCCGTATGGATTGCGATTTCTTTTAGACTTAACTCGTGTTTAATTTTCGGCCCTTTGTTTCACGCTTCTTAGCCTTCACTCATGACTGCTGAGCCTCGGTTGCTGTTAGACTGGCAGTAGGTGAAACTTGAGGTCATCACATGAAATCAAAATTATGAATGTTATATATGAATGTAATGGTGACCTATATATGTAGTTATATCGCATATGTGCTATAATCGATTCATGCGTGTGTATTACTATTTACATTGTTTCGTCTTCTTCAGCTAATAAAAATGGAAAATTGTCTGCATACGGGTAAGTAATTCTCACTTGAATTTGTCTCCTTGTAACGTAGAGGACAAAAGCTTTGGAAATCTAAATACTGGCTCATTCATGTATACTTGTGATGAATTGACGTTCTTCAATCTCATCACTTGTAGGTCTAGGACTGGTAACGAGCCATTATGAAAATTTCCC